AGGGGGGGGGGGGGGGGAGCATGATCCTCGAGAATTGTAGGAAGATCGCCGGATTTTCTTAAACATTAGGAAACAATTCAATATTTCAATTGCGCACGGCATTAGTACTGCCTAACTGAGGTTAATTTATTTACTCAAGTATATTTATATACATTTTAGCTTTTATCCTGTCAAAAAGTGGGGGAAGGGGAGGGGGGGGGTCAAGCTGCCTCTGGCCTCGCCCGCTCCGCAGTCCCTGAACTCACCAACTTTAAGGATTACAATGGATATTAGGAAAATGTAGAATAATTCTATACTCCTGTAGGAATATTTATATGGTAAAATGCAGAGACTAGTTTTTTAATGAAAATTTCTCTAAAGTAATTTGTGACGTCGTGAACACCCCTCTGTTCAGGACGTCACAAGAATTGAGAAAAGAGAGAGAAATTGGAAATTGTAAAATTCAGCAGGGTTGATTAATTTGAAGATTAAAATTACAAGGGGGCTGTCAGAATTTCTGAGGGGTTAAGTGATACGTGACGTTGTTGACAGGGGTGCTTCAGAGTGGTCCATGAAATGTACAAAAATTCCGGAAGGTAGAGATTATTTAAAAATTAAATTCTAAGGGGTTGTAAAATATCAGGAATTTCCGAAGGGTGGAAAAATTGGTGACGTCGTCGACAGGGGTATTTCAGAGGGGTCCATGAAATGTACAAAAATTTCGAAGGTAGAAATTATTTAAAAATTAAATTCTAAGGGGTTGTAAAATATCAGGAATTTCCGAAGGGTGGAAAAATTGGTGACGTCGTCGACAGGGGTATTTCAGAGGGGTCCATGAAATGTACAAAAATTCCGGAAGGTAGAGATTATTTAAAAATTAAATTCTAAGGGGTTGTAAAATATCAGGAATTTCCGAAGGGTGGAAAAATTGGTGACGTCGTCGACAGGGGTATTTCAGAGGGGTCCATGAAATGTACAAAAATTCCGGAAGGTAGAGATTATTTAAAAATTAAATTCTAAGGGGTTGTAAAATATCAGGAATTTCCGAAGGGTGGAAAAATTGGTGACGTCGTCGACAGGGGTATTTCAGAGGGGTCACTTAGTTTCCTTAAGAATATAGAAGAAAACATCAAATTTCTGAAGGGCTTTCAAAATTCTGACGAATTTCCGAGGGGGACTTATAAAAACATGCTTCTTAGGGGTGTGAAATTGGAAGACGTCGTCGACAGGGGGGTGTAGATATTAAATGGAATGGCCCAAATTGGCCAGGTGTTCTAAGAACGACTTTCCTCGACGGCGTCTGTTTTAATAATTTGTCCATTGTCTTGACTTATTCAAGGCCAGATTGTTTAGGCAGAAAGCCTTGGGTTGACAGGGAAGTATTTGGGAGAAATGTTCGGAGGCATTTGCCATTTGACAATCAACTGCTTTATACTAGCTGATTCACTGCCTGTGTCTCAACGAACGTCTCGCTGGGCTAACCTTCAGTTGTTCAACGTTTGAAGCCGCAAGTGATGCAAACGCGGTTAGATAAATTGTCAGCCTGAACTAGACTTATTTTACTCTCTCTGCAAAGATCAGCAAGGCATACGTCGAAGTTTTCCCTTGTACTTCTTTGGAAAAGGTTTATTATTATAGCTCACGAAGACAAAGTATCGGTATATTACATGTAAACTTTTATCAAATCCCGTTGGAAGTACAGTTAATATTGCTAACCTTCGCTCATCCTTCAACGTTAATTTAAATTGAAAGGTTTCTCAAATACATTCAGGTACTTCTTCGAAGAGATAAACAAAGTCGTGGTTTTATACGCCACTGATTGTATGCCAGCTTTAAAATTACATTGCGAAATGCCGTACGAGTTAAATATTTGCACGATATTAACTCATGGGGCACTTCTGACCAATGGGAATTTTGCGTACGCTCCGTACGTCTCTGCCTGACAACGGCCTGCGAGCAGGCTAATTCCGGCTCGACTTCGTCCCGGTTGGCCGGTCTCATGCACGTAAACGGGGTCTTATATGTTTCACTTTTCAAAACTGATCATTTTGGTTAGCCAAAGGCAATGTCACATAAAAAAGGAGAAATATATTTCAACGTTAAATGCAAAGATAGTATAACTATTAGTATCTTCATTGATACTAGTGTACCATTTCAGAAGTGAAATTGTTTAGGGGGCGAAGCCCGCACCCCCCCCCCCCCCCCCCACAAAACAAACACATGTGCAAATGCGGTTGAAAACATAATAATTCTAGAAGATTTTAGTTTTATTCAAATTATGCCCCCCTGATGCTTGAGGAGAAGCGAAGCGAAAAATTGCTGTATTCAATGACACGAATACAACATATATAGTTGAAAAATATATATTATAGAAAGGGAGAAATTTCTCTTTACTTAGGATACGGTGTGGAACAACGGATATAGCACTGCATTTAATGTAGCGCTTGGTTAAAGCAACAAAGGTGTAAGGCGTGTAACAAAGCCCTGTTCGGTATGGCGGCGTTTATATTAAGTGAGAGAATTTTAGCGAGGTCTTTCGTTGCGATGACATTCTTGCTTATCGGTGCTATGTTATTATATGTTGCTCAAGAAAGTGCCGAGACTTTGAAACCAATTGCAATCATTGTTCTTGACCCGAACTTCAAAGAGAGTCCGTTCGCAAGCACTGGTAATGTTATCAGCACAAAATCTAAGGAGTCGCAAACCACGTCTGCCGAATCACAACCGCAAAGACAAAATTCCAATGTCCCTCCAGGCCATGGCAAATCCACGGTTCTAAATTCAGGAAATATACGTCGTTTAAACGGTACGAATGCCTCTACAGCCAAGAACAACGCACAAATTGACATGAATGCGAAGAATTCTACTGCCGCCATTGTGAAATATGCAAAACCTTTACAGAGTAACTCACAACAGAGTAATTCACACATGATACAGCCCACAAATAGACAAAACGTTTCCCAAGCCCAAAACAAATCTGCGACTCAACTACCACTTTGTAAAAAGCCAAACGAGGATCTTGGTAAGTGATTGTATGTAAAATATATCAAATTTGGTCGGTCTACTCTATTGTATTGTAAATAAATAGTCAAACTTTGGCGCGTCCAAGCCAGTGAATTAGTATGGTCTTCGGCCCAAGTTTTGCTCTCCCCAGGCCGAAATCTAATTCGCTTTCCTTGACAGTTCGCTTAACAAGTTTTGCTACTCGTGTGCACAGAATGTTGTTTGACATAATTATCTCACGTCAAGGAGTTTCACTTTCAGGACCGCGTTTTGTTCATAGCTTCCAAAACCACAGCAAAGGTTTTCCTTGAGACTTGACGGCCGTACACGAATATAAATTTTATATATAAAATCTCTGGAACAAAGCTCCACTGAAAAAATTTTAACGGCACCATATAAAAAACTTGTCAAGCGGTTGTCAAGCGGGAAAAGTTGTTGTCTTATTAATGAATAATGGACATTTGCATTATAGACTAAATTTTGATCTGGACAAAAATTTCATCACAGCTTGAAAGAGCATCACAAAATTAGTAATATTCCAAAGTTTCGTTTCGGCGAAATGTTGTAAAATGCGGATAATATAGCCTTGCGAAGTTTGCAATTTTCAGTCATTTTGTATTACAAACGGGAAATTGATGCCCCAACACCCGATTGCATGGGCTGTCAATTTCCCGTGCGTAATACAAAATGACTGAAAAACGGCAAACTTCGCACGGCTATATTATCCGCATTTTACAACATTTCGCAACGAAACTTTGGAATATTACTAATTTTGTGATGCTCTATCAAGCTGTGATGAAATTTTTGTCTAGAATCTAGATCAAAATTTAGTCTATAATGCAAATGGTCCATTGCCCTTGGGTTGAAGTTACAATACTGTTGTGACAGGGTTGGTAAGTTAGATGAATAATTAGGCCAAACCGTCATTAGTGCCGTTTAGAAAACAAAGAAAACAAAAGGCCAAGGCAAAGAAAAGAAAGACCTAGTGTGACGGTGTCCCTGTGTTGCGATTCATTTACAATACAAATAGTATTGAGAATTGTTCAACTGATTGTCGATACAAATTCTTCTATACATTATTTTTATACTAAAATTTAAGTTAACGTATATTTAAATTGGGCAGTCGTGTCAAAATTAACAGCTGCTCGTTTTAATTGAGGGAAATGGGTTCACGTGATCAGTTGTCAGAGTGCCAAATTTCCGTAGCGGCGCGAAAAAGCACCTATCTGATACGGAATGTACAAGTTTCAGAAGCTGAGCGAAACAACATCTCCCGGTTGCAATAATTCCTCTGAAAATAGCGTTCCTAAAAGGTACGAATAGGTTCATTTTCACGTAGCTACGGAAAGTTATCCGGTGGCAGTGTAAACGTAGAACGTAGCCTATATTAAAAGCCCTGGGCAAACTAGGAAACATTGTTTCCTGCTAATGTTTCGCCATGTTTCCCAGAGTGGGCAAACGCTAGGAACATCAGCTTCTCTGTTTCGGAATCTTTCCACACTCGCTCGCTTTGGCTTTTTGTTATTGCTTCAGTTCGTCTGCAAAAACTGCTGTGGCCTCCGTACTTTCAGCCATTTTTTGTGGTGTTTGTTTTTGCGCATGTTCTTATCTGGAAAAAAATGTTTTCGCGCTGGAAACATATTCAGGGTTTCTGCGCTTGCGACTCTCACAGAAGCCCTGGGTACGAGGTTGATTTTTTTGTCCAGAATCCCGCGAAGGTGCGAGTCCCTTCGTATCCTGGGGGCGGTTGTATAAAAAAGTGATTAAAGTTAACTGTATAGTTAGTGGATCACTATTTAAGTACAAAATAGTGATTAAAAAAGTGATTAAGAGTTTTATACAATCGGCCCTTGGCCTTGCTTTTCGCCGCTAACCGCTCGCTATTCGAGATCGACTTGTGAGTTGTGGGCAAGTCTACTGCTCAGATCGAACGAACAGATCTTGTTATCTGTAAATGACTATGAAACAGAGCCAACTCATTTATATAAGTAACATAACAGCACTAGAAACTTTATCAATTCCATAAACTTTTGTCTGATAAATATTGGCCCTGGTATAAGCCAATAGGCAATAGGAAGACCAAATTTTTTTTATTGAGCTGAAACTAAAAGTATCAAGAAGTGAGGCATTATTTACCGCATATAACCCCAATAAACAATTTACAATATATTTGTTTATGAAGAAATTACCTTGCTTATGAAGAAATTACCTTGCTTATGAAGAAATTACCTAGAATTAGTTTGGCTTTTCATCGACATCGGTATTAAATATCTCATTATACATTCTCAATTATGTAAACAATTTTAATTTAACAGCAGGAAACTGTAATAGCGTACTACGCCATAAAAGTTTGGCGTCTTTCACTAGCTCGCTAGCACAAGCTTTAAAATGAGGCGTTGTACAGCCAATTCTAGTCATTCTCAAGATCAATATTGGATTTTAATACTGGACAACGCTTTTATGTGGCTTCCCTCGAAGAATCACTTTATATAATTGTTCAATTTCACTTAAAACTACTTCCATCGAAACAACTATCAATGTCGCTTTCAAAATTGAGCGTGTTCCAACGTCTGCTCGCTTTGTTGTCGATTATATCAATTGGAAGCATTCTGATACGGTTTTCAGAAGAGGACATTCCGACTTACCATCATATTGGGGTCTTGGAGTACAGCGTAAGGCCTACGATGGGTAATTCGATAAACACGAGCTACGAATCGAAACTAACTCGGATAGCAACTACTAGAATTCCCCTCAGAAAAATTCCGCGCTTTCGGCCAAAGACAAAGTGTCGAACGCCTCATGGCAAAATGCTAAGTACGTATTGTGACATTTGTATGGTTAACACAATGTACGGGTATAATTCATTGTATCGTTTCATTGAATATAGCAAAATATGCCCAGAGCCGAGGTATATATATAGATAATATCTATTGCGACTTAAGTCGTACGGAATATCTCAAGTGGTTCAAATTACGAGTGTAAATTTGCGAAAAGGTTAGGTCTATAATCAATGGCAATGTATAAAATTTACACTCGAAGTTCTATCGAGTGAATCAGTTCCGATAACACAGCATACAAAAGTACAAACAATACTGTTAATTTCATAATACATGTACTGTAGATACACTACTCACTAAGCTTCACTATATAGACCCAGACACCTTGTCCTTCAAATCTTCAACAGATACAACTTGGCTGAATCCAAAAATTAAGTATTAGCAAAAGTTAAACTGATGTTGAATTTATATATATAAAAACGAGAACGATGGATGCGCTATTCCCTAGTTAATGGCTATTCAACACTACGCTCTACAGTCGCGCGTGTTTGCCTGTTCAAAAATATTTTGAATAAATAAATAACAGTCAACATGTCACGATATATTAATTTCACATGTCATTTGTATTTGTAAAACGTCTGTTCGGATCAAATTACTTTGCGCTGAATGAAATTATGTCGAAAGAGACTAACAGTTTTAGTACAATTATACGAGTTTCGACATCGAATTTTTGTCGAATACGAGCAATTCATTAATATTTTAGCGATTCCCCAGCAAGCTTTCGCGCTCATATTCGACTTTTCCGCTTTGCTCGGGGACAAACTTATTAATTGAAATAGCTGTATATCGCATTTTATACAACTGCCTTTGGTGGCGTGATTACATAGAACCTATTAACACTGTTAACACATTGGCCAACTGTTAACAGTTAAGTTATTTAAAACCGATTAAAATGTTCGTGTTTGCTCAGTGAAACACTATCATGTATTCTATTTAAGTTAAAACATAGTTGGAATATCATCTCCTCGCATCTTAAGAGCTCTAGTTATTGGTTTACAAAAGTTAAGCAGTTCTGTTAGTCTTACAAGGCTTGTCTTTTGTTATAGTTGGTCGTCTCCAAGTTAACCAATCTGTTCCAGATATGGAAGATATTGCAAGTTCTTGGAATGAAAGAAACTGGGTTCTTAACGGTGGTGCTTGGAGACCAATTACATGTCAAGCTGTCAGTAAGGTATGTATGGTGGTGATGACGATGCTAGTTACGGTGGTGATGGTGATGATGATGGTAGTGATGATGGTGGTGGTGGTGGTGGTGATGATAGTTATGGCGATGATGGTGATGGTAGTGATGATGATGATGATGATCATGATGATCATGATGATAGTTATGGTGATGATGATGGTAGTGATGATGGTGATGATAGTTATGGTGATGATGATGGTGATGATGATGATGGTAGTGATGATGGTGATGATGGTAGTGATGATGATGATAGTTATGGTGATGATGATGGTAGTGATGTTGGTGGTGATGGTAGTGATGATGAATTGTGACGATGGTAGTGGTGGTGATGATGATAGTTATGGTGATGATGATGGTGATGATGATGATGGTAGTGATGATGGTGATGATGGTGATGATGGTAGTGATGATGATGATAGTTATGGTGATGATGATGGTAGTGATGTTGGTGGTGATGGTAGTGATGATGAATTGTGACGATGGTAGTGGTGGTGATGATGATAGTTATGGTGATGATGATGGTGATGATGATGATGGTAGTGATGATGGTGATGATGGTGATGATGGTAGTGATGATGATGATAGTTATGGTGATGATGATGGTAGTGATGTTGGTGGTGATGGTAGTGATGATGAATTGTGACGATGGTAGTGGTGGTGATGATGATAGTTATGGTGATGATGATGGTGATGATGATGATGGTAGTGATGATGGTGATGATGGTGATGATGGTAGTGATGATGATGATAGTTATGGTGATGATGATGGTAGTGATGTTGGTGGTGATGGTAGTGATGATGAATTGTGACGATGGTAGTGGTGGTGATGATGATAGTTATGGTGATGATGATGGTGATGATGATGATGGTAGTGATGATGGTGATGATGGTGATGATGGTAGTGATGATGATGATAGTTATGGTGATGATGATGGTAGTGATGTTGGTGGTGATGGTAGTGATGATGAATTGTGACGATGGTAGTGGTGGTGATGATGATAGTTATGGTGATGATGATGGTGATGATGATGATGGTAGTGATGATGGTGATGATGGTGATGATGGTAGTGATGATGATGATAGTTATGGTGATGATGATGGTAGTGATGTTGGTGGTGATGGTAGTGATGATGAATTGTGACGATGGTAGTGGTGGTGATGATGGTAGTTATGGTGGTGATGATGGTGGTGATTGTAGTGATGATGGTAGTTATGGTGATGGTGATAGTGATGGTGGTAGTGATGATGGTAGTGATGGTTATGGTGATAGTGATGGTGGTAGTGATGATGATAGTGATGGTGATGATGGTGGTGATGGTAATGGTGATGATGGTATTTATGGTCATAGTGATGATGATAGTGATGGTGGTAGTGATGATGGTAGTGATGGTGATGATGGTAGTGATGGTGAATGATGATGATAGTGATGGTGGTAGTGATGATTGTATTGATGGTGATGATGGTGATGGTTATGATGATGGTGGTGGTGGTGATGGTAGTGATGATAGTAATGGTGCCAATGATGGTGATGATAATCATGGTGATAATGATATTATTTCTAGGTGGCCATTATTATTCCCTATCGCGACCGTTATCCACATCTTAAGATCTTTCTTCGTCACATGCATCCCATTTTAAAACGTCAACTGTTGGACTACAGGATTATCGTTGTTGAACAGGTACGACCAATATTAAGATATAGTTTACAACCTCTTTATGACCGAATTATAAATATGCCTTAAACCCCGTTTACACCTGCAAATTTTATTGACAAGTTTCATATGTCAAATATATTTTGCTTGTGTAGATGATAAATTTGTGACAAGTTCATTGTGACAAATGCATTTGATCAAAAGCTGACATGCTAGCTTTTGATCAAATGCATTTGTCACAATGAAATTTGTCAAATAAAATTTGCTCGTGTAAACAGGGCTTTATGGTTCCTTTGCATTCCACAAATTAGGTCCGATGAATTAGTTAGGTGCAGTAGAATTTGGAGGAGTGGCTGTCGCATTTTGCGACGTTGGAGCGATATTGATTTATTGGCCGCTCCACTCATAGCCAAACCTAGTTCATATTTTTATTTTTAGAATGGCGATACACCTTTCAACAGAGCTATGTTGTTTAATATTGGATACAAGGAAGCGCTCCGGTTTCACGATTTTCAGTGTTTTGTTTTCCATGACGTTGATCTGCTACCGGAAGACGACAGGAATTATTATGGCTGTCCTTTGAAGCCGAGGCATTTGTCTGTGGCTGTAGATAAATTTCAATACAGGTACGTTTGTCGTACCCACGTAAAAATTTGCCGCAAGGTTGTCACTCACAACTTGTTGACAAACAGTTGAATTGCAGGACGATGTAACAAGTGTTGGAACAACTTGTAACAAGTCTGTTGAGCTCAACAACCTTGTAGCAAGCTGTCAACAAGCTGGTCAACGTGAAGTATATTGATCCTGTCCTAGGACGATGTTCTGCTCCTCTGACCATGACCCCTGAAGAAGTCCAGTGGTGTCAAGCAACGAAGTAAATGTACTTCGTTACTGTACTTGAGTACTATTTTTGAGAAGTGAGCATGTAACAAAGTAAACTTTTTCTGGAGTACTTTTACTTGGAACGAAGTCGTTTTAAGAAGTAACGTTTTACTTCGTTATTTTCATTTTGTGGCGAAGTATTTCGTTACTCTCTATAAACATTTGTTTAATTTTACGTAATTTATTCCCGATTTATTTTAATTTTGTGATAGGTAATAGGACCTCTACATGCGTTTGGGATCTCTTGTTTGTGGCTTACTTATAAGCATTATTTATTTAATGGATTTCTTATTTCTTCAACGGGGTCTGGAAAGTAGACCATACCGTGAAATATTGTATATATATTTATAATGCGTGTGCTGTTTTGTGTTTTTTTTTGTATCTCAATCCATCAATGGATAATCTCCCCTCCCCCCTACACGCTACAGACAGTAGTACTTTTATTTTGTACTTCAAGTATTTTTTAAGGATACTTTGTACTTTTTACTTCAGTACGTTTTACCTCCAGTACTTTTTACTCTTACTCAAGTCGTTTTATTGTTAATTACTTCGACTTTTACTCGAGTACAAATTCAAAGTAATTTAGGCACCACTGTATATATATATATATATATATATATATATATATATATATATATATATATATATATATATATATATATATATATATATATATATATATATATATATATATATATATATATATATATATATATATATATATATATATATATATATATATATATATATATATATATATATTACATTACATATATATATATATATATATATATATATATATATATATATATATATATATATATATATATATATATATATATATATATATATATATATATTATATATATATTATATATATATATATATATTATATATATTATATATATTATATATATTATATATATTATATATATATATGAACTACATATAGCTTATTTAAATAACTGTATAATGTTTCATCGTTATCTTTTTAGAAAAGGCAGACAATGGACAGTTTGATGATATGGATGATTGAAAACATTGTTTTGAACGCAGCTGCTGCACTATATCATCGCATTTGTTGTTGCCGAGTTCTGAAAACTTTCATTATATACAATGTAAATATATCAATATGTTGCATTCATAGGAAGCTTGAAAGACTGTATGCATGCATATATAATTACAGAATGTCCCACATAAAGCTTTAACAATTCGTTAGTCGTTTTCTGTCGCGTTTGCATGGAAAAATAAATGTGTTAATAGTACTGATATTGTTACTTCTATATAAACTTTGCAAAAATATAGTTTCACATAGACATAGTCTTGTATTTTTCATTCTAACATACTAACAATACTAATATTTAAAAAATCGAGCTCTAAATCCAAAGTCTAATTTTAAAAGTGTAAAAGTTTATTAAAGCAGTTCACACGTACCACAAAGAGTATAGCCGCTACAAAGACCTATGCTTTTTAAATTGACTCAGTGATGGCAAGTTTTAGCCTCCTCTACAGGCGTCGCCTTTAGATTGCCGCGGAATTTGGTTATGGGCAATGAATGTAAATCCATGAGGTACCTGCACACGAAGTTTCTAATTTCGGTAGGTAATTTTTCCATAAATTTGGTCCAAGATATCTCATGGAATGTTTGTCATGTGTAACAGTGTTAATCGTGGTACAGTAGATTCTGATGATCTAATTAATTAAAATTGCTTGAATGCATAGGTGTTCTAGTTTTTACATTACATTAGATCAAACAGGGTAACTTTTTGGGACACTTGGTACGTCAAAACACTTATCGTAAAAACTTCTATATACATCTATGTTGCCAGATTTGGGACAGGAAAATTAAGTAAGATACGTGCGAGTGTGCTATCCTTGCTTGCAGCTGAGATTTGTACAGTCCGATAGATTCATGCCTTGCAATTTATTAGTTGTTAACAGGCGGTTTAGACAACCAAGGGTCACCTGATATCAATCCTCTTAAAACAGCAGGTGTGAATGTGAAATTTAACTCCTAGAATAAATACAAGGTGCTGTTTTTAGGAAGATTTTTGGTGTTACAGTCGATTTCACATATAACATTAGTACATTACCTCAATGTTCCGAAAGAACAACGAAGTTCGTTGCGAAGCAAATTCGTTGCGAAGTTCATAATTACAAGCCGGTTATAATTAAACAAAGCCTCTGATTGGTCCTTGATTTAAAAGAAGCGAATCAAATGCTTAGTTTATAAACTGGTTTCATTGTAAATATTATGTTTGTAAAGTAAAATAAATAAATAATACTTTTCACCTTCGCAACGAATTTGCGATCTTCGGAACTAAGTTTGGAATTTTTAAGAGGCAAACAGGCTAGAGCTAGCCATCCAGGCCCTCCTATTTATATTTCAGCGCCAACGTCGTACCCAGGGCCTCTACACTTGTAGCTACCACCACAGACGTTCTGGGATACATATGAGTCCCGTTTTGGAGGAAGTTACTATTTTTAGGATTAGCGAAGGATTAGGGGTTAAGTTCAAAATGCAAAAGAACACAAAATTGCAAAAGTCTAAAAATAGTAACTGCCCCTAAAACGTTACAGGAAAAGTTCTCAATTCTTGAACACAAAGACGACACCTATTGTCTCAAATCTAGTAATAATCCACGCCCCTATGACGTATGTCCTATTACAGTAAAAATGTCAGTCACAATTTATATACAAGAAGCCTTTAATTTCCACGCTGTACGTTCTATTTTTTACATTTTGCATAGTTAAGAATTAACAACAAGAACATACTGAATGATCCCCGCCTATCTAGTCATCTACATTAGCTTTATACGTTGAAAAAAAAAATAGACATGAGAAACCAAACAACTAGTACAAAGTACAAATATCAATGTTATCACTTCATGTGTATTTTATACAAATTTATGAATTAAACTAAACTTGCTGCATACTGAAAAACAGCAAAAATATTCAGTCTTGAGTCATGAGTGACCATGTGATCTTCAAGATCTCTGGCAACATCAAACACAGCATTACAGACAAAACAAACATATCCAACACCAGTTGGTTCTGTTGATTCGAGTTCTTGACATAAACCACATTGATATTTTCCGTCATTGCCATGGTGCCTTGCTATATGTCGACTCAGCTTCACGAAAGTTGAGAATTTTTTGTTACATTTATTACAAACATATCTTCCAGTGTTATCATCCACAAAATCTTCTTGCAAATCCTGTGGTTGGATAATCTCGCTGCCGCAACTGTGACACAACAAATGCACCTTTTTGTGGCAATTAAGATTACTTGATTGCGAAAATCTTTTCTTGCAAATGGCACATTCATAAGGCTTGTCTCCAGTGTGTATTCTTTTGTGTGTGGCTAAGTTACTAGATACAGTAAAGGTTTGTTTGCAGACATCACATTCATAAGGTTTGTCCCCAGTGTGTGTTCTTTTGTGTATCACCAAGTGGCTTGAAACACTAAACCTTTTTCTACAAACATCACATTCATAAGGTTTCTCTCCAGTGTGTGTTCTGTTGTGTATCACCAAACTGCTTGGACATAGAAATCGTTTCTTACAAACTTTACATTCATCACATTTGTTTCCAGTGTGTGTTCTTTTATGACTTGCTAAATAATCTGATCTTTTAAATATTTTGTTGCAAACATCACATTCATATAGTTTGTTTCCATTGTGTGTTCTTTTATGTCTTGCTAAATGATCCGATCTTTTAAATCTCTTCTTACAAACATCACAATCATAAGGCTTGTCTCCATTGTGTGTTCTTTTATGTCTTGTTAAGTATCCAGATCGTCTAAATCTTTTTCTACAAACGTCGCATTCATAAGGTTTGCATTCAGTGTGTATTCTTTTATGCGATGCTAAATGATCCGATCTTCTAAATTTCTTCTTACAAACGTCACATTCATAAAGTTTGTCTCCAGTATGTGTTCTTCTGTGCCTTGCTAAATGATCTGATCTTTTAAATGTCTTCCTACAAGCATCGCATTCATAAGGTTTGTTGTTTCCAGTTTCTGCTATTCCACGTTTTACTGCAGAGCTGTTTGATGTTAAGAATCTGTCCTCGCAGTGATCAGGCATATTTAATTAGGTTTAGATATAACCTTAATACTACCATTAATCACTGATCTGTTCACTTCAGATCTGAATTCTTTCGCTTGACTTTTCTTAACTCTCCACGAAAGCTTCGATCGATCCTTTTATTAATTTTAAACGAAATAAACCACAAAATCTCGGCGAATCTTTCGAATTCCGGCGAACAAAACAACGAGTCAGAGATAACGAAATAACTCGCTAGTTACGAATACCGACCCTAATCCTACCCTAGCTAACCGCTGACCCTCCGAAATAAAAATTAGTGAAATTGCTGATGTTGGAAGTGCGGGCGATGTTGTGAAGGAGATAAATAAGAATTTAATTTTATTTTACACGAGGCAATTTGTGCCGACAACAGCACTTGCACCCCAATTGCGGATTCAGGGGTGTCAGATAAGGAGAGAAATCTTGGTCGGTAGGCTATTTTCAAATCATAAGGGAGCAGTCATTATATATGCGGGGGGGG